AACATACCAAAACCATCATATGATTATGATAGATGCCGTAATGGAGGGCTCCTAAAGCATTGAAAGGTCACTTTTTTTTTGTTATGCAGAACTGATTCACAGCTCGAGGCTGTCTCCGCTCTTCTGTTCAAATCAAGTGCCATCAGCTCAAATGTGCTTCGTGTCTTTCTTTTGCGAGTAGTAGTTGCGAGTAGTAGTTTTGTATGTCACTGTTATATTGAAGAATGTGCAAAATCTTTCCTCAAGCTACACAATGAGTGATTTTAGGCATGCGCCTAACTACGATTACAGATTGTCTGTTTTTTTTTTTTTAATTCTACCACTTCATTTCTTTCGTTGCCCGCAGAGCATCTGATCCAAGATATATAATTTCAAATGCTGGCACTAAGACGTTCTACTTGCTTAACTTGGTTTTGGCAAGCCGCACCAGTGAAAAACTTTCATAGCTGCATCCAGTAGCACTGTGGAGTCGGCGAGAAGCCGATGTAGCAGACGACACTCGGGCGCCGTGGAGCCGCGCGCTCTCCTACTGCGGCGGAAAGCGAATAGTTCTGTGCGTTGCCGCAAGGACCGCCATGCGCATGTTCGCCAACCTTCTCTCCCAGGGGGACATTATCACAGCGGGCGCTCGCACTGTCACCGGCCCCAAGTTTCCCCTTCTGTCTTTCTTGCTCCGTGGTTGACAACTAGCGCTTATTTAACTTCAGTGTGTTACGTATCGCTGCAAAGGATGGCCTTGCCAAGGACTCCGCCGGGTTCACCAATCTTACGGCGTGCCGTATTCCAGGACCAACATCAAAAGTATTATTTTCTTATTATTTGCTCAAAACTAATACAATCAAAAATCAAACTGGTCTTGCATTTTGAGCCTAATATTTGATGCTATTTAGGCAAGAATCAAAGCTGACTAATTGCAAAACAATAAGATTTTATTTACTTTCTAATTATCGATAATTAATGTTGTGCAGAACAACATATTGCCTCATTTTCTTTGTTGAGATGTAATATCGAGGGCCTTCGAAGTATACTGCATGAATTTAACACGTCTTTAGACAGTTCATCATGATTTGCACCCGAAGACAGTATAATCCTTCATGTGACATGTTCAAAAATTCATTGTTGTGTTACGAACTTTTTGAGTCAGTGTAACAATTTTACTTTTGTATAGATTTCTGCCAAGAATTAAGCAGCATCAGAACATTTTTGACAAAAGCCTTTTCACAGTTACGAGTAAACCAAATGAACAGTGCAATGAATGCTTACCAACAGGTAGCTGGCAATGGCAATGTCTTCGTACACGTATTTTAGTGGATCAGTGGTTTCGGGCCAGATCTAGAGAAAAAATTGGCGCTTATTACCACCCACATAATTGAAGTTCATGATAAAGGTAGAAATGTGCCCATCTGTGCAAGTGCCCCTTACATATTTTGAAATTCTCATCTTGCTTCAGTAATCTAAGGTCAAGTCAATAGCATCGATTTTCATGCAAACTCATGCCAACGTTTCTAACTTACATGTAAACGCAAAAATCAAATACTCAAAATAACGCCTGAAAGCAGACGTAAGTATGATGTTGCTGGCTGTCAGCTGCAATACAACATAACTTGGTGCTGCATATTTTCGACAACACGCTTGGCTTCCATTCCTTATATGTTACCTGTTGCGTAAATAGCAGCAGCTTGACGATTCCCAGGCAAATCATGAATGACAGAATGCACATAACTTCAAAAAAAAAAAAAAATCGATCATTGCAAGCTTATATAGCTTGCCAAGGTGCACCCGATTCCCTTACATGTCCACAACATGCGCTTACAAATGCCAGCAAGCATTATCACGCCGATGAAGTAGAATGTCAAAATGTGCCAATCTCCAGCAATGCATCGAATGAAGCTACCTGGTAGACACTCATGAATGTACTGCCCTCGGTATTATGCTGAGAGAACCATGAAATAACCATCATAGAAGAACAAAACATATACATACATAGTGCAATGTATGTCTACTTTTTTATTTTCATTTATGTTGGTTATTTCCCTGTTGCCTTAGTGTAGTACTTAGCGCAATACAAGCATTAAAGCTGTCAGTGCTCAACTCTGGGTTAAGCTTTATGATTGGCTAATGTTTTGATATCGCTGTCTTGAGTTACCTGCCACTGTATTGTAGCTACTGTTAGAGGTTTTCCAACACTTCAACCAAATTACATGCGGTGAAGACTACGTCACATAGTCATAGTGTGGAAAGCAGTACTTTACTTACATACTTTTTCATTCATATATTTCAAGTTACCCATAGACTCCCTCCACCTTCAATTCAATTGCAGCTGCTGCTGTTACTACTACTATTAATACTACTCTGCCCCATAACGTATAATATCAAAGCCAGGCACAAGTTATGAAGTTTTCAATGAGCAATTCACTAACCAGCTTATTCTCCTTAATGTCCCTGCACTCAGATGCTCCATGAACCTTAAGTGATGTGCACAACCGCAGACTACATGACTTGATTAAAACACATTCAACCTTACTAACAGTCCTGGCATTCTAAAATGATTTGCTCAAGGGCCCATCACAGGAAATAATAACCTGTGGACCATGGCACCTGCGAAAGTTGTCAATTTCTCCGAGTACGTACATGTGCAATGTAAAATTGTACCAACATATTATATTGCTGGTGAGGCTCAAATAGCTAATACTACTAGATTTTAACTAGCTTTCCTAAGCTGTGTAGCAAAAAGAAGCTTTCACAGCATTCGTGCTGACTACATTCACACCGCCACACTGAGATCTTGAGTGTAGATTTCAGTTGTCACTGTGTGTTGCCGTTTACAAGACTATGCCACAAATGCACTGGACAAGTATAATGAAGCAGTCACTTTCACACAATTACGCTCTTCCCTTAGCGTTCACTACTTATGGCTCACTGATTCCACTGATAATACAACAACAGAACTGTGCAAACTACTGACGCTACCTGAAAAAGAAATGAAAACGTTGCAGCGAAACATAATTGCTACGTCATTTGTACTGGCTATGGACTTTTAAAATGACGGCTACAGTCAGCATGCGATTCGCTACGAGTATAAATGAAAAGAAGTCTAACTGACAGACTAATGCTTCCAGGTTTGAACGTACACATATAACCGATAAAGTGGACAGGAGGACGACTACTGTTATTAGCAAGCATTATTAGAAGAACATTGCAGTCTCTGTGGGCAGCAAGTTGTCTTTTCACACACTTTAATTTCCTTACATTTAAATCATTATTACTACTAATAGCACACCCTACACTGTCCTTGGCTTGAGTGTCTGTTAGTTCTCATTTGTGTAGTACAGGTACATATCTTTGGAACGCAACAGCCTAACTTTTCTCTATCTTCGCTCCAGAGCTCTTTCCCAACATTGTAATTTCCGCAGTTCGAGCTAACGTATTATCACATTCATTTACTTGTAGATGTTTAAAGAATTACAACTCTAACATGCATTTTACACAGCTCTCACACAACCACGAAACCAGGTTTCACTAAGTGCAATCGCTTACTTTGCAAAGATGCTTGCCATACTTCTTCTTTAGGTTGAAGTACATTGTGTTGTACTTTTCGATGGGCACCTGGCTAAGCGAGGGCACCGCCAGCTGCTTTCCTTTTGTCATCGGTTCACTGCAAGCCCATTTCGTCACTTTGGGCAGAATGTGCTCCTTCAGCCATGATGCTCCCGACACTTCATCTTCGCATTTGAACTTGAAGAATTCCAAATGAATTCTAGAATGAAATCGGTGAACTGCATCTATACAACTGCCCATGTAATAACACGTTTAATTTTTGGAAACCAACACCGTGTCACTTTATTTACATTGATACCTCACTGTAACAGCGCATCTAGCACAAAAATACTTATTATAAGCAATAATAGCTTTAGCAACATACACAATTCAGGACACCATACACTACTGTACGGTGTCCTGAAGAACTTTTATGTCGTAATATTCGACGGTTCGTTATATTCGTACATTGCAAGTCCACCGTATTTAGTTGCCTCTATCCCACCAACATGTTTTGTGTTCAATTATCAAAGAAAAAACCGAATTCAGAGGTCAATGCAGCGAAACGCGAAAGCCATTGCACATAACTCGCAGTGACCTTATCCTTCGTGTGCGACGCTTTCCACAGAACGACAGGTTTAGCCTAGGATTAAACATGTGGGCGCACTGTTACATCGGATATTAGTGCTTTTCATTTACAATAGACAACTAGTAACGAGCGTACATCGTGTGCTGTGTCCACGAAACCCTTTACTACATTCAGCACGACTAATCCTTGCCAGGTTATGACCTGATCACGGGTGACCCTGAACAGCGTTGTATTAGCGTTACCTGAAGTCGTCACTCAAGCGTAGTCTGTAGGTGATGTTGGGAGACACTGCGGACGTTTTGGAGGCGTTGTAAAACACGGCACTGTCACCAAACACCATCACCACCTCCCTCACGGGAGAAAAACGGTCAATTTGCTTCGGCAACAGTTCTCTTTCCAGCACATATCCCACGATTTCGGAAGCGTCCTTCCAGGAGCATTCAGTGCGATCTGTCAGTTGCTCCAGGACACTGTCAAGTCCATCCGCGTCCACGGCGCTTATGTGTTCTGTCAGAGTGGTGGACGCATCGTCGGAGTTCAGTAAAGCTGGCTTGATGACGCGTTCGCGGAGAGGTTTCACGCCAGTCAGTCGCCTGTTGATGGTGTGTGGTTTCTCGATCCAAACTCTCAGCGCAGTTTGGAAGGAATCCAGGCCTGGCACTTCCGCAGAACAGTCGGCGTTGAACCACATCTCAGCGACTGTTTAGCGACATGTCAGTCAACAACGAGGGCACAATAACCGTGCAATAACTTCAATACGCAGAGCGTCCACATAAATCGCACGTGCAAAGACGCAACCCACGCAAACGACGCCATTGATCACGATGGCGATTTGTATTCTCCCGTCTGAACGGAAATTCCTAAAGCAGTTTCAGGAAGCCGAAGCAATGCGACGCCAGCGCCGCCAGCCTTGTCGTGGTTACGCTCCTGTACGCCCATTTGGCCCGTGTAGACGTCGTTTATGAAATTGTTTTCCCATCTCCCACGCCTGAATCCTAGGAATGGCTAGAGAATACGACCATTTATTCAAATTACTAATAATCGGAGACAGCGGTAAGTCGTCCTTTTCGAGCATGCTCTTGCCGCGACTGTCGCCTTTCCAGAGGCGAACAAAGTTCATGCCGATTTGCTCTGACGCTTGCTCGTGCGAGCGAAATAAAAAGTGCACTTCTCTTTCGGTCTGCCCCAATTGAAGCACATCAGAGCTTTCTCGAATGTCGCGTCCGTGCCCACTGATCTTCCGTGACCGTATGTTAGCCTGCTGCAGTGCCTTGAGTCGCAATCGTGCGGCCGCTCAGCGACGGGAAAGCTCTGTGTATCATATTTTTATCTCTGTGATGGAGCCGCTCCTGAATCATTAGACGCCACCGTGTTGCTCATTTTCCGTGTCTAAAATAAGAGTTTTTCCTAGTGTCACTTGGCACGTTAAGTTTTAACTGCAGTGGTTGTTTCGTTGTAGTGGTTTTGGGTCACTGCAGCGATCACAGACTGCGATCTTGCAATCCTTCGAGCACGCAGCTAAACGTTCGAGACACCTGCGTTCAGGGGGGTGTTACGGGGCGAGCTTTCAATTGCGTGAGATCTGATCGTACTACAAGCGGCACGACCGCGCGCATCATTTGGCATTCTGAACGCTCAATTAAGCGCGGTGACTGGCGAAAATTGGCCGTGTTGCTGGAGCCGAGTGAAAAGAAGCGCGCGATCTATAAACCACGCAGGGAGCGAAGAAAAGTAAAGACACCACTCTCCGCCGTGGCCAGCAAGTTTTTGTGGTCGCTTGTTTTCATCGGGTTGCCAGAAAAGCAAAGTTGTGCGCCGCGAGAGTTTGTTTGGGTAGCCGAGGTTAGTGGCCCGGCTTGCTGGGGCGTGATCCACATGGGAGCGCGGGCAGGCGTTGTAGTGCCGAGTTCACTCTCCGCCTGTGCCTGCCGATTTCTCCGTGCCACCTCTAAAATTGCATCAGAGGAGCGCGTGCGATGAGCCATCGTTGGGTGCCGTTCAACGAATTCGATCGCTCGTAGTCCGGTTTAAAAACAGCTATAAGCGCATGACGCTACCGTTGCGCGAGCATAAATCGTGGTCCGTGCGCTCGAAAGCGGTTAGGAAGGACGTCATTTTGCCGGCGGCGTGATGCAAGCAAGGGCATTCGCGGCGCGTTTCCTTTCTGTCCGGGGGGACATATGACTCAGAGCAGTTGTGCTGTGAACTCGGAGATGAAGTCGCGGCTATCGAGTGTTAGAACGCGTCGACAGACGATTCGCACGACGTGGTTCCTCGCTTCACGTAACCTAAACTCGCGCGCGCACCTCCTCTGCTTTCCCCCAGGATCACTCGTGCGTCCGGCGCCGATGACAGCTTTTGTGCCTTCGCCCTATGTAGACGCGCGTGTTTTAGTTTATTTATGTCTTTTCTCGCGTAAATTTATTCTGGGACGCCGGCATTCTTCTTCGACGACGCGTTTCGTTTCGACGTGCCCCACTTTTCCATTGTTTGTGGTACTCCTGACTAGAATGGGACAAGACGGGAATTCCTTGCCCCCAACGCGCCCGTGACATGCACCGAGAAACTAATTGTTTATTTGTGTAGTCGTTTCTTTGTACAGTTGCCAAGTTTTTTCTTTTTTTTTTGTCTTCGGTTCAAGTGTGGCACAGTTCCTTTTTGCCAAAAGCTTTTATGGCTTGATCGTGAGGCGTATGTTTTGATATTATTATCGTGAGTAGTACGTTCACTAAAGGTAAGTACACTAATAAGCGTGTGACACGACTGTGGATGAATTTTTCAGCTTCAGGCATTGAAGATTCTGTAGCAGTCAGAGGTTATTGCCTTCTGTTTAGTTCTAATCTACTGTAAACACCGAGGTAAACGAACCTGTCATGAAACTTGTCGGGGTACCCACAAAGAGGTATTTGATCAAATGTGCTCAGTTTCACCCCACCCTGATCACTGTTTGTGTCACCTCTGAAATGTGCAGCAAAAGTGGTAAGACCTTTAAGGCGACACTTAAGATATAGTTTTTATTGCGAGAAAGAGCCACTCGCACGCAGCGAGAAAGTTTGGTGACCTAATAAGACAGACAATTGAGACAGGCGGCAATGGTGTAACAATTTTGATGGCACCTTGTGGACTGCGTTAAAGTAAATGGCCTTCATCGAAATCAGACCACCATCGCCCAGATCGAACCCATGTCTTTTGGGTCAGCAGCTTGAGCGGAGTAATCACCGAGCCGTTGGGGCGGCAACGCTCCATTTCCTATAATAATCAACCTGTTTGTACAAAAGCCACAAAAGGGGAGTTTCATAGGAATACTTTGTCAGCCCAAACTGTTTCAGTGCCCAAAGCTGTGAGTCAGATGGAAACCCACGTAGTTCGAAAAAGACATGTGCACAAATAAGAGCACAGATCACTACTCTCCACGAATGTTGATATAAAGCAAGACGTTTCGGCTCCCACCCTGTAAGCCTTCGCTGTGAAAAATTATTGTGCAAACAGTCCGGTTAAGTGTGCTTTCAAGTGTGGCATAGGGCTACGTGCGGGAAGTTGCTGTCATTCTGACTAAGCGTGTGCGCCATTGTCTGGATGGCTAGAGATTTGAAGTAAAGCCTAGCAGTCTAGTTCTTGCTCCGCTGCGGTCGTCTAGGGACTAAGGTGCTCGGCTGCTGACCCGCAGGTCGTGGGATTGAATCCCGGCTTTTGCGGCCGCGGCTGCATTTCCAATGGAGGCGGAAATGTTGTAGGTCCGTGTGCTCAGATTTGGATGCACGTTAAAGAACCCCAGGTGGTCTACATTTCCGTAACCCTCCACTACGGCGTCTCTCATAATCATATCGTGGTTTTGGGAGGTCAAACCCCACAAATCAGTCAGCAGTCTAGTTCTCATCTCTTTCTGTTATCTCTGCCTTATCCCAGTATATTTTGTGGCCATTTGCTTCTGCCTGTTTCACCAGCCCGTTTTATGAAAACCTTTTCTTTCTTTCATTAAACGCAATCTCCTTGAGTTTTTGGGAGAAGTTGCCTGTCTTGCCGACATAATTTCTTCCGCACTCTGGATGCTTCAGACAAATTCTGAAATTTTTTCTTTTGCCAGCTTGTCCTTTACTTTTAGAAGGGAATGCCTCAATTTGTTTGCCAGCAAGTGCACTATCTGAACATTGAAGGGGTGTGGAACACGTCCAAGGCACACGATAATCCCAGTAATATATGGCACAGAAGCACATTTCCTAGGGCGTGAGTTGTCAGGATGGGCCGGACATTCTAGCTGACATTCCACAAAGTGCAAAAACAGATCGGGGTAGCGCCACTTTAGAATTCTCGGTGCACATGCAGTATGTCGGCAATGAAGTCTTCTGGCATTTCTGCACGATTTACAAGCCAGTTTACGATGAACGCATAAGCCCGTATTCCTACCTTTTTCATAAGGGAGGCAACTGCAGGCCATTTGTAAGGGGCAGGGTTCACAGAATAAAACTGCAAATAGCGACCCGGGGGGGTCGCTATTTGCATTTTTCTGTACACTTTGAACGGCATGCTTTTTCTTGTGCGCCTAATGAGAATGTCTAAGAAAGAAAGCTGGCCATTCTACGGTAAACCTGACTTCTGCATTCATGCCGTGGAGGTGTTCTGTATTTGTAATCAGTGCTAAAGCAATCATCGGCGTATTGTAGAAAGATTTTGGACACAGCATGAGACAAACTGAGTACACATTGTTCAAGGCATTTCATCGTAAGATCTGTTGCCCTTACCAAAACGGCAGCACCTGTTGCTGTCCTGTCTACCTGTTTGCAAAAACAACTCTCAAACGGAAAGTATGCGTTCTCGAAGTGAATTCAAAGAACGGCGCAAACTGTGAGCGTCGATTGGTGTATGCTTTGGCAAGGTTGTGTCTGTTTTGAGGGCTGAGACACAAAATTAAACAACCAAGCCCGTAGGTATAGGGTGAATAAAGACTGGATGTCGAAAGACACCATAACATTGTCATTTGTGTGAACATCATCATTCACTGATATCGTCATATCCGCAATCAAAAAGTTTTGTTTTTATGGGAACATACGTGGTCGGAGCCTATATTAAATTGTTCTCATGTTTTAGTGTCCCTTTAATGTTGACCTCACTCTAGAAGAAGTGGAACCTGGGCTGCCTCATTTACGCAAGTGAACCATGTCATCATAGTTGTTTTATCGTAGGGCAGCCTGTTACCGCAGCCACAAACGCCACAGCAAATGATGCAGAGGTCAGTGGTAGAGAGAAAACCATGGAGAAATCCAGAACCACTCACGACATTTCTCCATTCAGGCCTTACTGTAAGACCAGCTAGACTGTGTACAAATATTGCACTAGTGTTGGTAATCTGAAGAGCGTGTCATAAGAGAAAGCTTATTTGCAGGAGCCTATTTGCATATGTGCCCACTTCTTTTCACTTTTTTCATTTTACTTGCCCTGAGTATTCATTGTGTAAATGAAATACTTCCATTTGCTACTGTTATGAAAGATAAACCCCGAATTTCGTGGCCAGTGTCGTAAGTGTGTGTTTTGTTACAAAAGCTTCGTGTCGGTTGTAGTAGCGCTATGCTTGCCCTGGCCCTGTATGTCACGGGAGCGCATATCCATCGCAGAAATTGTTCTCTGAGAAGTTACTGTCTTTTCCAAGCCCGGTTTTCTTTATTACGGCTCACATTGATTGGCATACTAATCCACATTTTCCGACGAGAGACCTCATTCCATTAACCCCCATTAAGGGCCTTATTTTCTCCCAAAAGAAATTTTTACCTTGTTTTACTGGGGCTCATCTCAAATGTAATAACTTTGAATGGAAGCAACTTATAGACTTTGTTGATGCTGATGGTGATTAATTATGGCTGAGTGCTTCTCAGTTAGTGAGCCCCATGACCACCCACGTGTTGCAATTTTCACGTGTTGTGATGCCTGGGGCAACTCTTTCCACTACGTAGCGCTTGTGTAGGTGTTATTTTCAAAAGCAGCCACAATTCTGTGGTAGAACAGCTGACTGCCACCCAGAATGCCCAGGTTGGATTCCGGCTTGAACTCCTCATTTTTTATTATTTGCATCCGTTGTAAATTTTTGCCCACAGGGAATGCTGATTTCTTGCTTGTGACCAACGGCGTTGACACCACAACTTCTTCGACATAGGCTCATTAACATAATTGTGTGAAAATTCGTTGTTCCATTCCGTATTTCTGAATTACTTGTAGATGACAGTTACTTCGTTACAGTAAGGTAAACTCTGTACACATAAAAGAAAACTAGTGATTGTTGTTGGCCTATTATCTGCAGTTTGATTACATGCTCTGCCATGGCTATTAAGAGGGCTGGCCGATTTGCCCTAGGCTACGTTTGAAATACGTACTCGTACACATGAGTGCAGACGGTAGCACAGTCACTTCAGGTATGTATAGTGACCAGCATACTTGTCGCACATAAGTTTAGTGCTTGACTTCTAGCAAGGCTTATATTTTTCATCATACATAGATTTGAGAGTTTGTTATGAGCTTGTTATACTAATGTAAAGCTTGTTAGCCTTATGTAAAAGTAAATGAATGCAGTTAAGATTTTATTACATTAATAAAATAATAAAGAATGCAGCTAAAAATCATGAGACAGTAGGCTGTAAGTAGAGTTTACGTGTGGTTTACGTGCGTCAATGAAACTTAGCTAACCCATCTTTTATTTGTACAGTATATAAATAAAAAACAGGTAATTTCTCTTACGCTATATTGTCCGTTGGCTTCATTTTATGTTATGAAAAAAAATTTAGCATCTTGGTTCTTATTTGTCTTGCTTTTTCCAGTTTGTGCCAGAATTTAATGCTATTTGTTTACAGCGTATTTAAACCCATTTCTTCATTGCACTAGCACGAGAGCTTGGCACCGCAATGTATCAATACAGATGAACATTTAAACTGCTGTTTCACGCCTTTACGGCAAAATTTCATACACGTGACGCGACAATGCATGTCATCACAGCTGCATCATGTACAAGAAAACTGTATTCACATGACGTAGCTGGCAGCGCATTGGTGCTCACAAAAGTGACGATGGGGTACACTTTTGTGTCGGTATAATGTCAGGTTGCTGGTTTCGTGAGGAAATAACAAGTGTGGTAAGTAAATCCTGCTGTTCTTTTATTGCTGTTTTGTTCCTTGTTTTGCAAAGGGGCAGTTTCACCCACTTTCTGTACCCTGCTACAGTGGCAATAATTTTTGACAAAATTTAACATGTCTCAAGCGAAGGTCATTCATAGCTAGGCGTATCACTTGGCCTAGTTTTATGTCTAACGTGAAGCGGGTGCACTTTGTTTGAATAAGTAAAGGTATTGCATGACATTATTCTCCAGTTTATGCTTGTATTAAGACTCCAAGATTATTAACCTTATTTTAATTTTCATGGGGCTTTCTGTGGAGGTGAAAATGTTGTAGGCCCATGTGCTGAGATTTGGGTGCATGTTAAAGAACTCCAGGTGGTCGAAATTTATGGTGCCTTCCACTATGGCATTTCTCATAATCATTCGGTCGATTCGGAATGTTAAAACCACACATATCAATCGATATTGATGGGGATGTAGTTGCTGTCGTAGAAAGACTAAAATAAATTTGACATTGTTTTCATTCGATCTCGTTCCCAAAAAGAGTTTCTTTTTGCTTCTTTTTCGAGCTATTTCTGGACTTTGTTATCCTAATTGCACACACAACAGACATCACGAAGTGGCTCGTGTTTTTCCTTGTTTGCGCGTGGTTTTGCAGTTTCTTTAACTCGTTATCTCGCTGATTGCATTTGTAAACAAAAGACGGTGCATCACGCAGCACAGAAAACGCAACATAAGTGGCCTCATTCTGTGTCCTATGCAGTTTCACGGTTTTCCTTTGGTAATCATGAATTGCCAACTGGCCCATACCCGTGCTTTTCAGGCTTAGGAGCAGCACTTGCTAGCATTCAAAGTGTAGCCTTATCTGTGTGTGCGCGCGGTTTTGCAGTTTCTTTAACTCGTTATCTCGCTGATTGCATTTGTAAACAAAAGACGGTGCATCACGCAGCACAGAAAACGCAACATAAGTGGCCTCATTCTGTGTCCTATGCAGTTTCACGGTTTTCCTTTGGTAATCATGAATTGCCAACTGGCCCATACCCGTGCTTTTCAGGCAGAGGAGCAGCACTTGCTAGCATTCAAAGTGTAGCCTTATCTGTGTGTGCTGAAACTGGGTAATCACCCCATAAGTCCATTCTAGTTCTCTTGTTTAACCTCTTCGGTAAGGTATATGTATAGGTTACTCACATTGCCGTTGCTTTGGTGTCCTGCTTACTGCTGGCTTCTCAAGACAGATCTGATAGCTGTTACCTGGCCGCAAGACTCTGGCTTTGACCATTCTCCTCAACTTGCTTGTCATTTCAGGAGTCGGAAAGAGCAGCTTGCTGCTGAGGTTTGCTGACAACACTTTCACAGGTACGTGCCGATTGCATAACGTTTTCCACACTGCATTTAACTTGCGTCTTTCTCTTTCACCACTAGCAACTTCAGTAAGTACTCAGCCACATGGTCATACTAGCTGCACTTTTAATATGAGCATGGTATTGTACCTTTTCAACCGTACTTCCTCCTGGTAGGGCTTTATTTGCTGATTAGGGATGCAGTACTTACTTTATAATGGAGCATTTTTCATAAGAAACGCGTTCTTGAAATGCTTACTGTAAATTACAGCAATGTTTCTACTCTGTCACTGCTTGTCACTGTCACTGCTTGTTCTGTCACTGCTGGAACAAGCAGCTGTCATGCTTGTTCAAGCACCTCAGTGATCGGTACACATTCAACTTTTTCAGTGAACCGACAGGGCTTCTTAATATACTGAAGCCTCAATTAATGGTTTGTCATGTAGAAGACCTAAGCATTTAGCTATTAAAACCTGCTGCCTTGTCAGTGTTTCTAAACTAGGGCAAATTAACACCATGTGAACTTGAGGAGACACACTGTGGAATGAAACTAAATAGTTCAAAATGCTTACAGTATGCACCTATAAAATTCCTCAAGTATAGTGGCACCACCGTCCTTGCCACGCAAGCTTAACTTTCACGATCTTCCTCTTTGGCCAATGCTATTGTGTGTTACTTTGCTGCTATCCATCACCAATTTAGGAATGCTAGTGTGCCTTGTGTTTTCAAGCGTAAATGGAAAGTTTATCACAGATACATTACGTAAGGCTTCAGGACTTGGAAACTAAAAGGAAATTCGTAAACACTGTCATGAGCAGCAAGGATTTAAACAAAGTTAAAGCTGTTAGTCATGTGCAGTATGTGTGAAGACAGCACCTTTTATTCAGCCCACCAGCATTGATTACTGATATTTTGTCAGAGCTCCACTGTAGTTCATAGTTACTTGTATTTAATTTGCTTCTTTTTATTTAATTGACAATGTGCCTGAGCTGAAGCTCCTTATGCACATACCTTACGCAGGCCTTGGCGAAGCCCTCCTGCAGAGCTGTCAATCACTTGAGATGCCTCTTTGTTGCATGTACAGAGTCACGTGTATACTAGACTCTGTTGTGTACTTGTTTTTTTGGCCCGTTTCAAGACGAAAGCTTATCATGTCCAGTGTTGTCGTGCAGGTTTCATGTTACCAGCATTTTCAGTGGCATCATGGGTGTTTTTCCTGATTAACTACGTACTTATTAGAAAAACATGCTGCAGGCTGCAAGTGCAGAGGCAGTATGATTCATGCAAGCCATTCTGTAGTGATATGAAAGGGTGTTCAAGAAGGAGGTTGCCAAGACGCAGCGCGGCATCAGACTGCAAGTGATACAGATAAACTGATAATGCATAAAGGAGCAAAAAAACTAACAGTGTGCTTTGTGTAGGATTCTACCGCTTTTAACTTTTATCATCAGTTATAATGTCAAAGGAGCAGTTACATCAAATAAACTCACTAGCACTTTTACAATTCATAACACTGAATGTAACACGATGGTTTGTGAATGTGCAGAAGCAGACGGTTCTGGCTTAACATCAACCACCCAGTGTCTTTAAAACTTCCCTGCACAGCAGAAAATGATAAAAATTTGGCTGTAAATGTGATGCACGGTTGGCCATGTTCACAGTGTGATTGCTCAAGAAGCCCCAAATATGCAGTATAAATTGCCATTGAACAGCTCAGTAATAGTGCTTTCATAATTGTTACCAGGGAACTACATCACAACCATCGGGGTAGACTTCAAGATCCGCACACTCGAAGTGGATGGCGAGCGAGTCAAGCTGCAGATCTGGGACACAGCCGGCCAGGAGCGGTTCCGCACCATCACATCAACGTGAGTCCCGTCTAACTCTTTGCCATGAACTTTCATTCAGTTCAGACCTCTATCAAAAGTTCTTTAAGTGTAGCGCTGTATTGATGCCTGAATGCTTGCTTGTTGCAACTTTTGCTAATGTACAGTGCCCTTGGATTGAAACTGAAGAATTCATGGCTAAGTAACAGACATACTTTTGTTTCCACTGGGTGCGTTAAGTTAACGTGTTCAAGTGCTCTCTAGCCGGTAGAGGGCCCTCTTGTAAACCCAACGGTTAAAGAGCGACTTGTGGTGCATGATTACGGAGCGCGCTCTACACAATCCAACCCTGAGCTCACACCTTCAATGGCTTTTGGAAGAATGTAGTGTTTCCGATGACTCTCTCCTCCGATGATGTGTGCTCTCCTTCCCCAGGCTATTCTACTGCGGAAACAACACTCGCTCTGTAGCGCTTTTGTGACACCAAAAGCAATCGGTGGAAATCTCCAATAAGCTAAGCTGCCAAGGCATCAGACCCGATGCATTCAAGGGCTTTACTTCCAAGTTGAAAGCATGCCAACCTTATACACCCACTGTCCTCAGTTTAGGTCGTATTGGCGTCATTTCGACTCGAACACATGGATCATAGCCAAATCAGATTCATGGCGACATGGTGTGGTTATTGAGAGCAATCATGCATACAGATTCTCATACTTAACAGGTTGGTCTCTCATTTTAATCAGTCAGTACTGTACTTCTACACCCTGCAGTACGAAAAACTGAACGCTGATGTCATGATAAGAATAAGAGCTACCTGTAGTGTTAGCATGTCCTTCAGCTACTAGTTCAATTTGGTTGATTTGATTCATAAGTAGTCAACAAAGTTAGTTGAACCCTCCACCTTGTCTGTTCAAGCAAAACGCAGGAAAAACAGTGAGAACACACTACTGACCTATTTGACCTTTTTCACCGTGTTGTAATATGTTCCCGAATCCAGCACGCGCCCAATACTTACGGGTCCCAAGTAGAAAATGACGCTTGGAGCTCCTCACTTGCTTATAAATTGAACGTTCGCGTGGCTTTTCAGAAGAAAAAAACATCTCCAATTGCTGCTAGAAGGAGAAAACAAAAGCAGCAAAGTTTTAGGAAACAGACTTCTGGACTAGTTGGTTTGTTCACTTCATTAAAGCCATAGCGTTGATAAGACAGGGGCCACAGAGAAAAGACAGCACATGTGCTTTCTGTGGCATGTAGTCCTTTCTGTAGTATACATTCTGTAGCGCCTCAATGCGCCGCTCGTTAAGGTGGCATTTGGGCCGCGCGGCGGGTGCAGCGCGAATTAAAAAAATCAGTTCGAAAACTGAACGCTGTCAGGGCTGGATCTTTCCCGTGTTAGCTCAGACAGTTAATGGTGACCCGATTAAGAACACACAACCCCGATCATCCCGCATGGATCCCGCCGGCTCTGCCACCAATCCTACCGGTCCTGACGCCCAAGAAGACGCCAGACCTAGTGGTGCTGCAGTCACTGCGATTCAACATGTCAACCTGCCACCATTTTGGCGCAACAGCCCCAGCACATGGTTTCTGCAGGTCGAGGCGCACTTCCATCTACGGCAAATCACCAGCCAACAGACCAGGCACTGGCATCTGGTATTCTGCTTACCTCCGGACGTAGCCCACAACTTAGCTGATATTTTGGCGTCGCCGCACCCGAGCCATCCCTACGACACGTTGAAGGCAGCTATCATTTCCCGCAAGTCTGAGTCCGAACACAGCAGACTCCAACAGCTCATCACGGCTACAGAGCTTGGTGACCGTCGCCCATCACAGCTCCTGCGACGCATGCGCCAGCTCCTTGGCGGCCCCTCCGCCCCTCAAGAGGAGAAGCTGTTACGTGAGTTGTTCCTCCAGCGTTTACCGCAGAGCTCACCGCAGAGAGTCACCGGTGAAGCATTCCATCACTCACCACATTGTGACCACTGGACCTCCCGTTTATACACGACCCCGTCGACTATCTGGAGAACGCCTTGCCATCGCCCGTCGTGAGTTTGAGCACATGCTTGAACTCGGCATTGTACGGCCTTCCTTCAGCAACTGGGCATCGCCACTTAACATGGTGCCGAAGAAAGATCCTGGCGACTGGAGACCATGTGGGGATTACCGCGTTCTCAATGCCCACACCTTACCAGACCGCTATCCACTTCCTCACATACAGGATTTCACATCAAATTTGGCTGGGTGCACAATCTTCTCTAAGATTGACTTAGTGAAGGCTTACCATCAGATTCCTGTAGAACCCGCCGACATTCCGAAGACGGCCATCACCACCCCATTCGGTCTGTTTGAATATGTGAGGATGCCTTTTGGATTGCGCAACTCTGCACAGACCTTTCAGCGCACTATCAACGAGGTCACGCGAGGTCTCGATTTCGTATTTGCCTACCTTGATGACCTCCTTGTAGCAAGCTCATCCGGCCCTGAGCATGAAGCCCACCTGCGCACCCTGTTCCACTGCCTGGATGATCGTAATTAATCCCAATAAGTGCCTCTTCGGCGTCGCTACAATAGAGTTCCTAGGCCACCTTGTCACTCCAAAGGGTATCCAACCACTCGCCAGTAAAGTGAAGGCTATTCAAGACTTTCCACCCCCGACTTCACTGAAAAGACTCCGAGAATTTCTGGGCCTACTAAACTTCTATCGCCGCTTTCTTCCAAAGTGCGCCACATTCCTAAAGCCCTTGACCGACCTATTGGCTAAAAAGAAAGACCCGGCTGCGCCACTGGAGTGGCCCAAGGACGCTGCATCTGCCTTCGGCACTGCCAAGAAGGCTCTGGCAGACGCTACCATGCTCATACATCCCGTCCCTGATGCCTCAATTCGTCTCACCACCGATGCATCAAGCGTGGCAGTGGGCGCCGTTCTCGAGCAGCACGTATCCGGTTGGCAGCCCCTTGGGTTTTTCTCGCAAAAACTGAAGCCACCAGAGGCAAAATACAGTACATTTGCCCGAGAACTCCTCGCGGTATACCTCGCCATCAAACATTTTCGTCATTTATTGGAGGGCCGGGACTTTTACGTCGTTACAGACCACAAGCCCCTGACGTTTACCTTCCATCGCAGTCACAGCAATTATACTGCACGGGAGATCCGTCAACTATGCTTTATTTTCGAGTTCACTGTGGATCTCAGACACGTACATGGGCCTGAAAATGCTGCTGCCGATGCACTATCCCGCATCGATGCCTTGTCGACCCAGCCACCACTAGACATGGAAGAGCTACCCGCTGCCCAAAGCAACGATCCTGAGCTGCATTGTCTTCGCTCTTCATCCACGTCTCTATCGTTCACGGAGTGCCCGCTTCCATTTTCTACCTCATTAATAACGTGCGAAACGTCTACTGGTGTCCCTCGGCCCTTCGTGCCTTCAGCTTTTCGTCGTGCAATTTTTGATCAATTGCACAACATGAGCCATCCTGGTATTCGTGCGGCCCAGAAGCTAGTCACATCTCGTTTCCTTTGGCCAAGTATCAGCGCTGATGTCCGTTGCTGGGCGCGAACCTGCCTTGAGTGCCAGCGCGTTAAAGTTCACCGTCACACTGTCACGGCAACATCCCCGTTTCGGCCTCCAGACGCAAGGTTTTCTCACGTCCATCTCGACATCGTCGGTCCTCTGCCGTCATAGCAAGGAGCCTGTTAGCTGCTAACATGTGTGGATTGCTTCACCAGATGGCCGGAAGTGTTTCCTATTTCCGACATTACAGCACCAACAATTGCCAAGGCTTTCACAAATGGCTGGGTGTCGCGCTTTGGATGCCCTTCTGTCGTCACCACTGATCGCGGTCGTCAGTTTCAATCCATCCTTTTCACCGCACTTGCCAATATCCTGGGCATTCTACACATCCACACAACTGCCTACCATCCTTCCGCCAATGGTATGGTCGAACGGCTTCATCGACAACTGAAAGCTGCCCTCACTGCTCACCAGCCAAGGGAACGTTGGCTGGACCACCTCCCCTTCGTACTTCTGGGCACCCGATCAGCATTGAAAGTGGATCTCGGCTGCTCATCAGCCGAACTAGTCTGTGGCGTTTCCCTGTGTCTTCCAGGAGAATTCTTCGAGCCATCATCGCCACCTTCCACTTACGATGCCTCCACGTACATTCGAGAGCTGCGCACCACGTTTCGGGACCTTGCTCCTGTGATTCCTGCCGACCGACACCCCCAGTCTGTCTTCGTCAGTCAGGATCTGCATGACTGCAGTCACGTCTTCGTTCGGCGTGACCAAATACGGCCACCACTAACACCAGCCTATGATGCCCCATTCCGCGTACTCCATCGTACACCTAAGACGTTCACGCTGGACATCAATGGCCGTGAAGACGTCGTGGCTGCTGATCGACTGAAACCTGCGTATATCGCCGTCGCAGCCGCGGGGTTTCAATCTAAAGTCTGGATGCCAACATCCAAGCATGTCCACTGGGCGACTCCTCTGGTGATTCCTACGGCTCTCGCTCTACGGGGGGGAGCCCTGTAGCACCTCAATGCGCCGCTCGTTAAGGAAGAAGTTGGCATTTGGGCCGCGTGGCGGGTGCAGCACGAATAAAAAAAAAATCAGTTCAAAAACTGGACGCTGTCAGGACTGGATCTTTCCCGTGTTAGCTCCGACAATTCCTTCCCCTTTCTGTGGTCTCTGTCTTACCAGCACTATGGCTTCAATGAACGCAGCGAACACTGTCTTCAAGGATTGAAGCTTCACATATTTAATGACCCTCATCATTGCTCGTAAGTAGCACTTTATCACTATGAAGCCGAAAACACGTCATCTTTGTTAAGGTCAGTAGTTAATTTCATGTTTTGAGACTCAACACTGCTCAGCAATCCTCTTCAGCAAGTTGAATGGTGGCCTACACCGGAATAACTACTCAAGAATTAGGATCATTTTATTCACGACAAACAAGAAGTCAAGTACATCATGAGTATATACAAGAGGTCCCATAGTTACAAACTGAAATGAAACCTCACTTGGCATTTGCAGTCCCCCGGGATACCGAGAACATGTGGTGCCGCTTATTGGCAATAGCTCAATGAGTAAAAACAATTCATTGTTTTAAAACAACCTCGAAATCAAAATGAAACAGACGTGCCGTCACTGTCATTATGTGCTAACAAGCCATTCATGTCAGCAGGGTTTTTTTTTTTTAACAATAGTACTATTCGTGACAACTCTGGCCAGGCTAATTTTTAACAATAGTACTATTCGTGACAACTCTGGTTAGGCTAATTGTCATTACGTTTTGGAAATGTAGTTTGGTTGTGGTTCTTTGTCAAATTGCACAATCCAAAGAATTTTTCAGAAAAATTTAAAAAAAAAAAGAAACGAGAAACAGAATGACAACTTCTTTAATAACAAACCTAAACTATCGCTTCTGCATCAAACGCTTCTGGGGAGAATTGAAAATGGGTTGCCCGAATGGGAGACTGCATCTGTTTGTAGAGTTCACTCTAACCGATTTGTAGCAAATTTGGAGACAGCTGTCATTGAAAACTGTTGCTGCTGTAATGTTTGTTAGGGCCATGCTTGCATACTGTGATCAGCCTGATTTCAGTTGTCTGGTGAATCACCTGGTTGCGGGATTTAACTGTTGTAAATTTGTATCAGTATAATTGCGCGAGTGCTGACCAGGACCTTTGAGATCAGCTTTACAAAAGGAAGGAACCTACTGAAGTCAAATTGACAGTAGTCGGTTCTATTTCATTATGATTTAGTTTATTATTTTTAGAAGTCAGTATACCAGTACTACAAGTGCACAGAAGAAGGTCTTACATAGTTGGGGACTGCAACGGAACCTCTTACTTCAAAATCTAGTTTATGTTTTATACATTGAGAATCATTGACGGCAAATAAAAATATAAAATGCCCAAATATTGATCACTTCTCTTTGAGCTTTCCTCCAACCACAGTGTGTTGCGCTATTCACCAATATTTATTCATCTCGCTCACACTGCTAGTGCTCTTGCCCCCCCTAAAGTGCCATTTACAAGGAATGCCACCCTAGAAGAGGCCGGATGTTATCAGCGCTGCGTACTGTGAGTGACACTGTTCGCATAGAATTGGTCCCCGTGCAAAAGTATATGTGGCTAACTTCCAGTTTTCTGGTCAGCAGTTTTCCCACTTGTGGATTTAATGAATTGGAAGTTTTTGCGTTATGACTAACATATTCATTTATACCCAGGTATTACCGAGGTACCCATGGTGTGGTCGTCGTCTACGACGTCACGAATGGGGAGTCGTTTGCCAACGTCAAGCGCTGGCTTCACGAGATCGAGCAGAACTGCGACGTGGTCAACAGGATCTTAGGTACGTGACATTAAATTGAAACCAGCTGGCCGTCGTTAGAGTGCAGCACTGCCTGTTGTTAGCTGTACATATTATTCACTTGCTCATTGGCTACATTATTTCAATCTCTGTTGTGTAATTTATCTTTTTTTTTTCTTGCCTAGCATGCTTGTCACCATTTCTTTTTTAGTTGGTAATTTTTTTTTTTTTGAACCTTTGCTTCTCATTTTATTGAGTCCCCACTGTCCTACTTATCTTTCCTTGTGTGTGTCTAACAATGGCACCCATTTTCGTTTATATCCTTTCTTCGTAAGATCCACAGGAACCGTGAGGTAGACGATGGTTCAAGGGGCTCTGAAGAGGCAGTCTCGTGTCGCAGCACATCTTCGACAGGCATGTCCTGCATTCGAAACAGCTAGCCACTTGTCTTGCAGAGCACCTTGATCGCATTTTGTGGGGATTCCTGCTTTTCAGTGTTCCTGAAAAAAAAAAAAAGAAAAAAAAGGGGTGTCTGCTACTTCGACTGCCGTTAACTGGGTCACACGTAATCAGATCTGTTCTATACATACATCACATTACTAGCCCAGAAAAAACAAGTGTTGTGCAAAGCAGCTATAATGTTAACCTGGTAGCTGCAAATCAGTTTTGAATGGTCACACTACCTCATTTGTTGACAGCCCGCCTCAGTGGCCACGGTGCTCGGTTGGTGACCCCGAAGGTTGCAGGTTCGATCCTGGCCGAGGCAGTCGCATTTCGGTGGAGGTGGAGTAGCAGAGGCTCGGGTACTGGGCAGTGTCGGTGCATGTTAAAGAACATTAAGATGGGCAAAATTTTCAGAGCCCTCCCCTAGGCATCTCATAATCGTATCATGGTTTTTGTAACGTATAACCCCAGGTGTTGGTATTATAATTTTTTCTCATTTGAGTTGACAACCTGAAGTATGAGTTGCTGCATCACCCATGTGTTGATAAGGAAGCTTCAACTTGTGAGCGAGATCTCGGCTTGACATCGACTTACACGTGAATTTTCACCTTGCCATAGCTTTCTTAGAACATCCATTCCTGTTTTGCTGCATAGAGTTCTGATTCCAGATTATTGTAACGTGCAAGTTCACTTTTTAACAGTAGAATAAATCTTGCCCCCCAAAGGGCACATAAAATATTTGATGCTTCGAAGCCGCATGCTTTATTACAAAGGTAATTGCATATACTAAAAGTCGGCACCCAAATACACATGAACTTTCCAAGTGTCATGAAGATCGATCAAGAATTTTTTAAAATGTTTTAAAAAGCAGTGTTGCCCCTTAACATTGCTTTAGTTCTGCAAATTAAGGGGAGATGCGAGTCGAAAAATCGCGTTTTTAGTGAAATTTCTCGTATTTCTGATTTTTATTGCATTGTAATCTTCAAACCTTCTTCTTTCATCTGTGAAAATTTCAAAACTAAATTCGAACTGCAAAATGCAAAAAAATGTGTATGAAGGCATCGCGGTGGCTCAAAATTTCGTGAATTTGCGCCGATATTGGCCATCTTTGACTGCCCGCTGCTCCCCGTCGCAGTGCCGCCCGCCATCGCGGTAGGTTGGGAAAGTTGCGTCCGGCCTTCTTCTTACAGCTCCAACGACCGCCAGTTTTGTACGTGGGCAAAAAAAAAAAAAACAAGGCCTTTTTATCACGTGGTTTGAGCGGTTTGAAACGCGCGGCACCCTAAGCCGCATCGCCATTGGCTACCGAGTCATTGTCAGCTGTGTTGGTGGCGGCTATCGACATTTGGTCCGTCTGCTTTTCTGCGCGTCTACGCATATTTCCGCGATGACAAGCCCGAAAAAGTGCAACATGAGACCGCAGAAGTTTCGAACGAAGCACAAGTTCAAGGGAAGTCTGCAATTCTGGACTTCTTGCAATTTGCGCATTTGGCGGCGTAAAGCGCCCTGAACGACGGCGACGAACGAGAACCCGCCTACGTGTGCTAGGCCTGACGGCGGCATCGACGAGTGCGCGAGCGACAGTGGCTGCGATGAAGGGATTGACGCTGCGCTTTCTTTCGTCAATGCTACGGAAAAGAAGCTCGGCTTCTTCGAAAAAGACGAAAGACAGCGCGATGAGGTTTGTGCAACGACAGTTTTGTGCGACACCTTCTTGCTGACGGCACTTGTGGCAGGTGCGGCATGCCCTGCTTGCAGTATTCAAAAACTTGCCGTTCGGGAGCCGGCAGAAAAGCGCAAGGGACTTTCGTCGCTCCTCGAACTTCATTGCGAAAACAGCGAATGCTCAGCGACTGTTCTTTCGTGCTCCTATACGTCACTGCGTGTTACGGCGGACGGCAGCAGCCGAGTGAGCCAACGGTACGACAGTGGGAGCTCCCGAGATAGTTTCGCTGTAAATGTGAAGGCGGTGGTGGCTGCACGCGCTGTCGGCATTGGGCATGAGCAATTGTCGAGATTTTGCTCCATTATTGGACTCCCAAAGCCAATGCACCACCGAGGATTTTTTTCGATAGCAAAGAAGGTGCACACCGCTGCCATGGCAGCTGTGAGTGAAAACTTGCGCCGATCCAGAGAGTTGACGAAAGAAGTAGCATGCGAAACTGATGTGGCTGTTATGTTCGACGGCACTTGGCAGTAGAGGGGCCACAAAAGCCACAACGGCATTGGCGCAGTTATCTCCTTAGATACTGGCCTTTGCTTAGACTTCGAGGTCATATTTAATTACTGCCTGACATGCAGTAGGCACAAGGATATGGGCCCAGACGAGGAAGTGTGGCAGGCATTCCATGGCCCAGTCTGTGAAAAAAAGGCAGACTGTTCCTCCCATGCCATGGAAACGGAGGCTGCAATGCGCATTTGGCAGAGAACATTGGTTGACTTATGACACCCCATTGCATTTCATGACATTCTTGAGTGACGGTGACAGCAAAGCATATAGTGCAGTTACAGAGTCAAAAGTCTATGGTGCTGTCAATATAGAAAAAGAAGACTGCACTAATCATGTGGCCAAGAGACTTGGCACCGCGCTACGGAAGCTGCATGTGCCATTACCATGAGGGCAGAAAATAAAAGAGCCAGCCTTTCAGAAGCTCCAAACATACTATCAGATTGCCATAATAAGCAACAGGGGGAGTGTACGGGATATGTACACTGCAGTATAAACTTCGTACTTCCACTCATGCTCTACTGACAATGCTGGCAGCCACAAGTTTTGCCCTGGAGGAACAGAGTCGTGGTGCAAACATCAACGCGCTGAAGCACTTGGTGAACCTGCACCATGCCACACACCTCTCCTGACAAAAGCACAGGGATTGGCTGCTTTGCCCATTTATAAGCGGCTAACAGATGAGAAGCTCCTTGCTCGATGCATCAAAGGGAAAACTCAGAATGCATCGGAATCCCTGAACAGCAAAATTTGGCTACTTTGCCCCAAGACTAAGTTTGTCTCCCGAACGGTTGTCGAGACTGCCGCAGCTATGGCAATCCTGTGGTTCAACAAGGGTCATGCTACTTTCGAGCACATCCTGGAAGAGCTCAACATACTGCCATCTAGAGATCTAGTTACTTTCAGTGATTCCCGCGATGTGAGGCGCATCAAGAGAATGTCCGAGCGTCTGACAGCAGAAGCAAGGGCCCACCGTCGTCGTGGAGTGAAAAGGGCACGGCTAGAAGAGAGTGCTCGCAAGGACCGTGAGGGCACAACCTATGCTGCAGGACAGTTCTAGTTACTTGCAGTGCTTTTCAAAGTTCTGTTGAACATTATGGCCAAAGATTATGCATTTCTAACAACTCTGTGATAAAAAAAAAAAAGGTTTCAAACTTTCAAATGCGTTTTTCTCCTTTTGCAGTTTTGTGGGATCTGTGCTTCTTATACACGCTAGTTCGTATACTTAGAATTGTCATACCTCTATGAAATTTTGCACATAGCATGATGAAGGCCCATAGAGTGCAAGTATCTATTCAGATTGTCAGTGCTGCTTGATTATGTTTTTCAAAAATTACATAACATTGAAAGCCCTTGGCAACTAGAGCCATAGTAAATTTTTCTATTTTATTATTGTATTTCACCTTTTTACACACAAAATTTATATAGTTTTTTGCACTCTACAGTTCCAAAGGATCATAGTCAGCTATATCTGCATGCTTTATCTCAAATTTTTATAGGTCAGAATTGTTGCATAATAATGGCCATAATTTTGCAGTATCTGACCTGCAGAAAGAAAACCAAGCAATCTACATGAAAATAAATGACATATTTGAAAAGAGGAGAAAAAACTCTATTAGCATGCCAATTTGTGTTAAATTCAGACTCTTATTAAAGAAAATCGTTTTTCGAGTAGCATCTCCCCTTAAGAGCAGAAGTTTTATGTAAGGTTGATTGTTTTCATAACCTGTGAAGACAGTCAAATAATATTTGCTGTAAAAACAGATGCCACAGTTGCCAGCCATGGAGTTAGTCAAATTTGGTTATGTATGCACTGCTGCATTACCCGCCACACACCTAAAAAGAAATAAAAATTACAGCTTGAGTAAATTTTGTGCTCACACTTTGATGTTGTGTCCTTTCAGTGGGAAACAAAAATGATGACCCAAGTAGGAAAGTGGTGTTAACAGAGGATGCACAGCGCTTTGCTGACCAGATGGGCATCCAGCTATTTGAGACAAGCGCCAAGGAGAACATCAATGTTGAAGAGGTAAGCTTTGCGATGGAGTCTCAACATTGACAGCTGGTCTGCATCTTGTTCCTCTTGCATATGATCCCTCAACTTTTTATGTACAGTTCTGGCTAGTGTCAAATATACATCTCATAGTCATGGTAGTGAAGAATGCAAAACTTTTCGTTCGGGTGAAAATGAAAAGTACAGTAATTACTCGTTACAACAAAGTCAGCGGGACGGTGAAAACATTAATTGTAAGCAGTAATTTGATATAAGCGACTGCTTGAGAAAAGCTAAGGTAGTCAAGCTGTAATTTCGCTACAACTGCGAGAAGCCACAAAGCAAGGTATTCAGTGAAGCAGAGTTTTATTCAGGTGCTAAAAAGGCACTCTGAATAACAAAATCAAATGGCCCATAATACAGTTGCCAACCGATTTTGCAGACCTGGCACAAAAAATATTTTACGAAATACCAGGCAGGACTGGCAGCAGGGAGCAAGGAAGCCAAGGGGTTAATGATTATGCATTAATTTGCTTGTCAAGATACGCTCTCTGCTTCATTTCTATTTTTGAATGATCAGTGTCATTTCTACTATTTCCGCATTCACATACCTGTTGAGCTTACTGCTAGGCAATGGTGGTATCGCTGACAAAAATTTGAAAAAAAGACTTTTAGTGTCCTTTATATGTTTGGCGTAGATGACTAGCTTAAGTTAAGTATAATTTATCATCATTATTTGAGCTTGAGAGGTAACGTTAGTAGTTGCACGTTTTGTTAGTGCTGTAGTTGATGATGATTATGGTGAATGTGAGTTTGACGTTTTTTTGGTGGGTGGGCTGCTTTCAATCACTCTCTCGTTACACTGTTCACAGGGTATGACACCTGGTGCAGTTATACAATCCTGTCATGCAGTATTACTTCTTGCCTGACCTTAAAAATGAGGAGGCTCTTTTTCCCAATGAAGTTTCAAGCATGTAGCTCTATGAATCACTCGAACTATGAGATTTTCATCATCGCAAGTTCTAATGCTTTGGCTGCACATGCATTCCTCTGCTTACAGGCTCCTGAGGTGTGGAAACATTGTGGTACATTATGTCGATAATGCAATGCCAATTTACTTTTGTAAATTAATTCACATGATTGAAGTGCATTCATTCTCACTGCTTGCTGAATCCTTAAAAGGATCAACAGCTGGTTTTTCTCAACTCATTCTTTATGCGGGGCAGCAAAAAAGCTCACCTTTCGTAGTGTATGTAGCCCCCAAAAAGTATGTAATTATTTGATAAGCAGTGTTTTTTCAATGTGAAAGGCCCTAAACACAGATGCATCTTTCCTCTAGCTGCACTGAGACTTGATAGCGATGCTGCCAGCCCTTCTTGCAATTTGTGAACCCTGTCGTCATCCTGCTTTCGTCGAAGATCCTGTAATTATGCTTAAGCATCTTTATTTCAAGCTTTTCAACTATTTTTGAAGATAAGCTGTTACAGAAGGGTGATGTGACATTATCACTATGCACCTTCTCTGTATTTGTGCCACGTTGTGTGTGCCTGAGCTTGTGTCATGGGGGACTTGTCCTGGCTTTGTTACTCTCTCGATACACCAGTCAAGCCAAGTCTCCGAAAACGTCGCTATGCATAAGCAAGGCCGTGCTGAGTAGCAGTGCATGTTATTCTAAGATGAAGTGTAGGTAGCTAAACTACGTCACTCCATAATCTTAGCGACCTGGAAACTATGTGTGCGGTTCCATAAGCGCAAATAATATTTGCTCTAGACGTGCTGACGAGCATGGGATTATTATGTCACGTGAAGGCAGTGCCACTTAAACGCATACTACTAATGCAGGCCTATGTGTACATTTTTATGGAGTAGTATCTTTTAATATAAAGAACCAGCAATCATCATCATCATCAGCCTGACTACGTCCACTACAGGAAAACGGCCTCTACCATGTTCCGCCATCGGTCCTCTGCTTGCAGCTGCCACTTTATACCCAGACACTTCTTAATCTCATCTGCCTAACTAACTTTCTGTCTCCTCCTAACCCGCTTGCCTTTTCTAGGAATCCTGTCAGTTATCCCTAAAGGGGCCCTGAAACACTTTTTTGAGTAACCATGAAATTAATTCACTGGAAAAGCGCAATGCCTCAAGAAGTCAACTGCCGCAAAAATTTTAAAGGTCTGTCTAGTACGAGCGGAGTTACAAAGATTTGTCACACGCTGCAATCCACTCTGCTCTCTTCTTGTCTCTTAAGGCTACACCTATGATTTTTCTGTCCATCGCTCGCTGTAGTCGTCCCCAATTTAAGCTGAACACTCTTTGTAAGCCTCCTGGTTTCTGCTCTGTAGGTAAGTACCGGCAAGATGCAGCTGTTATATACCTTCCACTTGAGGGTTAGTGGCAATCTACCAGTCATGATTTGAGAGTGCTTGCCGAATGTCCTCCACCCCATTCTTATTTTTCTAGTTACTTCAATCTCGTGGTTCATCTCTGCAATTATTGCTGGTCCTAAGTAAACCAGGAATATTTGAACACTAACAAAAAGATTTTTGACCGTGTAGAACACTCAACAGGTCATGTGTCCAGGGACATCGGATTGTTCATTTTTTGCTTCCAGATGTGCTACAGGTAATTTTTCACTAGTTTGAATGAAAGAATCGCATGATAAATCCACCACTCATGGAAAAAAATAGGGTTGGTTTAAGTCAATGAAACGCACAATCTTTCCATCAGTAGAGTCATTCATTTCATGTTCTGGGCAGTTGTCCGTTCCTTTAAACGCCTATCACAAAAGCCAGTTGGAGGACTCCTAGTTTGGAGCGTACTCACATGCACACATTGGCATCACTAACAGGTGTTATAGCACAGGGGTGGTTGGTTGGCTTGAAGGTCGAAATGGGTGACTGCACCTTTTCCAAACTCTCTCTGCTGAGAGCTGCTTGTTCATGTGCATGCAGATGTTCAATGCCATCACCAGGATGGTGCTGAAGAGCAAGAAGGAACAGAAGGAGCGGCAGCAGGTGCCTGAGGACAAGCTGCGGTTAAAGCCCGGTGGCCACAAGAAGAAGAAGCAGTGCTGCTGATATGCGGCCCCCCTACCAGCAACCCTTCCGTGCAGCTCCCGTTGCCGGTGAGCAGTCAGACCGCTTAGGCCGAGGCATTTGATTAGCAGAACACTAACGAGAATAGTTCCTTGTTTTGTTTGTTGAAGTCTTGACGGCACGAACACTAATCTACATCAGGCGAAAATCGCAGTGACTTCATTCACCTTTACACGACCGCCGTAGTGGTGTAGTGGTTATGCTGCTAACTCGGAGGTCACAGAATCGAATTTGTTCTTGAGCATCTGCATTTAAATGGAGGCAGAATGCTAGTCTCTTGTGTTTAAATTTAGCTGCATGTTAAATTACCCCAGGTTTCACTACGGTGTCTTTCACAATCATATTGTGGTTTTGAAATATCAAATGCTTAGTAGAGCGAACACTCAATAAATGTAAATCTGGTAAACGAAACTGCTGCTTGAACGGGACAACGGCCTCCGATATGATTGGTTTCATTTTTGTATTTCGGACCCCTGCTCACCTCTCAGTAAACGGAACTCCTGTTTAATGGAACACATTTTCTCGGTCCCTTCAGGTTCTGTTTAATGAGAGGCTACTGTATCTGTCAAGAGTACTCGTCCAAAAACAATAAAAAATTTTTATGCACATAAACAGTGAAGTCTATGTAGTAAGTGTCATCTCTCTTTCACTTAACAGAATACTTTCTCAAGAATACGAAGAGCATGAGCTGTGAGCTTTGTCTTACGTTTTGGGCGCTTAAACTGGGATATAAACAGAAGTTTGAAGGGTGGGAGCTTGGGCTAGTTGGTATATCCCGACGAGTGCTATAGAGCGGACTGAGGACGAGGGGACTCAGAAAAAAACAAGGACGAGCACTCTATTTATCTCTGTGTCCTCGTCTTCAGCTCGTGCTATATCACGCATTAAGAAGTTTGAGGGTGCCGTGTATTAAGTGTACCAAAAGATTGTACTATAACCAGCGTTTAACATCTTCCAGGAAAACCTGTACATTTGAATGGGATTGGGAAGAAGAGGATGTGGCTCATTCCCTCCGAATGGGGGGGCCTGAGGGGAAGCTACAGCGTCTGCCAAGAGCTGCCACTGCGAAGAAACTCTTGTCGATGCCATTTGCTTTTTCCCCATTTCTTCGTCCCATCGTGCTCCTCTGTCTGCTCGTGTTCTGTCTCTGCCCATTGCTCGCTGCCTAGTAACAAGGTGAGAAGTGGGTACTGCAGCACACCAGGCAGCAAATTTTCTCCCCGTTCATTTCTACATTTGCCCATTGCGCCTTGCTAGTATAGCGGCCTGCGCAAAGTGTGCAACTTGTCCGCAGTGTCCTGGCTTTTGTGGGCTGCTGTTGCTAGCAATTGCTGTTTGAGCCCCGATCTTTGTCAGGATGTTTAGTATTGATGAGCGGGGCAAGCGCACTCTGAGTTGCGTTCCCTGGGACGAGCAGCTTTGTTCGTTGTAAATATGGACAAGGGGAAAGCGCAGGCAAGTGTCGACATATGATCGTCTGCTTCCTTACAATGTGTGCAGTGGTGGACCGCGAATGGCTGATAGTGTTGCATGCAGGTTGTAAGCGGGGCTCCGGTGTGCTGGTGGGCAGGCAGAGCACATTTGTCTCAAAGGCACGGTGCGCTGGCAAAAAAAAAAAAAGAAGAAGTAGTTGTAGCAGTACGGTCGAGCGGCACTGGAGTGGCTCCCACTCGTTTTTATGTGTTTGCGAAGGCGTGCTCATTTCTCATTTGCATCTCCTCCCGGTCAGTCTTGTGGGCAAATGGAGCACACAGTTCTCGAGTCTATAGTCCCCCCCCCCCCTCCTCGTCGAGTTTCTTTTTTTCTTTATTTCACCGTATCACAGTGTTTAGTAACCTCTGTTTCCCTTTTCCAGCGCCGGTGTGCTCATAGTAGCTTTTTTTTTCCTTTATATAGTTGGTGCTGCAAGTGATCTTAGACTAAAGAGGCATTGTTAGCAGACAGCTTCTTAATGTTGTGTGGGGCCATCTGGGAAGAGATTATGACCTATTCATTTGGAGTGGTCTGAGTCATCAAATATTTTGTTACACACGTGGCCTAAGCCTTGCGTTCCCTTCCGCAAGGCTCTTGTTTTTTTTTTTTAAGCTTCAAATGTGTCACCTCTTTTTTTCTCTCTCCAGTGTGCTTTATTGTGATCCATCACTGGCATCAGTATGTTGTCCTTAGCATCATCTGATGTAAATTGCCTTCAAAATAGTATTGCTGCAGAGGCATATATAGCTTTTTATATATATATATAAGGAAAGATTGCTGTAGTATACTTCGTGTGGCCTGAAGCACTTGACAATGCAGAGTGAATTAGTCGTGCCACCAGAGAAAGTGGTGCCACATCGTGTGCCACTCCGAGAGGTGCATGGCAGGCTGTGTACACTGCTACATACTCTTCTTCTGGCCTCTCTTTTTTCTTTTCTTTCAGGGCAGAGTAATTTTTTTTACAAGTATTTCTTGCACCTCTGCCAGTGTCTCTTGGTTCGTGCAGGTCACAGTGGTCACTTGAGCTGTGTTAAATGTTAGCGCAGCACTGTCAATCCATGCGCCCGTAAACTGCAGCAGGATGTACCATAAAACTACAGTTTCCTAGCAAGTGTGTGTGTTTTTTTTTCTTTGGCACTTTTTCTTTAGCATAGTGTTTCCTTGTTTTGAAGCGAGTTCACTTGGGACGGAGGCCGTTGGCCCGTTGTACATGCAGTCCCTACTCATCGTGAACGTACTTCTGCATGAGTAAAAGCTCCCGAGTTTGCCGTTGGGCTTGATAGGATTTATGATCTTAAGTGAGTTTCTTTTTTTTTTCTTTGCGAATGTTTATCACAGCCAAAAGAGTTTGCACCGCGATCATGGCTGCGTTGTGGAGTTTGTGGGTTTGGTAAATCTTCGTGGGTCATTGTGTGAAGTGAAAAACACTAAGAGAAAAACTGTGCCCAGGCACTGTATTTTGTAAAGAGTGTAGTCTGCTTTTTCTTTTGTCTTCTTTTTTGCGGACGAGAGGAAAGAAGAAGAAAAGGGTGGTTTTGGTCTGGACGCTTGGCAAAGTGCTGTGTGCGCCCCCTGCAAAAGTGTGTGTATGCACCACTGCGCAAAGAACATTGAAAGTAAAAAGAAAACAATGCATACATTGAATTTTACAGTGCAAAATAAACATATTGAATGACACACGGCCTCATACTGTCACTTTCTTTTTCAGCGAGTTTGAACAGCTGTTGGCGAGTTGTCGCATGTATGTTAGAGTTTAGCAGAATGTCCTTGGTGGCAAACGTCCTGGGCGAAACTTCCTAGGTTCATCTTGGGCCATCAAGCTATATATCATGCTCGTACACTTCTTCATTCACTCGCATAAGTTTGTTTGCGTTATGATAAAGCGTTTTATAAAATGAAGAATTTGAGGCATTACACTATAGCTTTTCGCCGCTTTGGGTCCCGTTTCCTGCAGGATTAGTCACTTAAATGCACACTCAGCCACAAAAGTTTACGGACCACGTGAGCCTGGTATGTAAAGCCCCAACGCATTATTTGTAGTCTTGTGTGAATAGTGAATTTTAGGTTTGAAGCAAATTGTGATGTTGGCCGAATAATCTTGAATCTAATTTGAATAACATATACATGACATAATATCAAAAAAGGGGGCATATTTATATTTATCATTACTAGAGACTGAATTATCAGCAAATTCCTATTTCGTTTCTTGCATTCCTATCGTGCCACTTCGATATATGACCATGAATTAGAGGTTGAAAAGGGATTTTATGGTGTTTTTATAGTGTCTATAAATGCATATTTTTGACATTTGTGCCTAAATATTTATAAGTGCCTATAAATGCCTATTTTCAAAATTGGTGCCATATTAGCTATATTTAATCCCAAGTTTTGCTTTCGGGTACAGTTGGAGAAAGGCATTCATGTTACAAGGCAAACTACAACTTTGGAACTCTATTGGGTGCAACGTATACTCCGTCTCATAAGTTCTTTTTAGCACTGTCAAGGAAGGCTACAAAGGCCTTTTAATCAATAGGAAGGTCGATTACCCTCTACACATGCATTCATTCCCATTGTCTGCTCGGCATCTCCCCGGCGTCTGCTCGCACGCATAAAGAACAGGATCGAGGTGTTTCTGTGCAGCCACAAGACAATGAAGAACAAAAGCGATACCGTGGCGTGTCATCTGGGCAAAATAGAATGTATATTAAAGAAATGTCAACGTGGTCTTTGTTGTGTTTGTCATTTACATTTTAAACCGCGCAATAGCAGGTTGCATGAGAAATTTTACTCGACACTGGAAGTTGTTGCGTGCCCAAGGAATAGCTTTGGACTACTAGCATTTTTAATTGGTTCATCAAGAGCCACGAAAGCAGGAGGTGAGCTTGAAACTGTTGCCACTCGCCCGGTTTAGATTTCGCAAGCCAAATTCCTTCTCTACCCTCATGGGTATTGGAGCAACTCTGAGCCGGAAGATCACACGGCACAGACACGTCCACACGTCATGCGCATGCAAAGTTACATTCGAATGGCATGCTCATGGCAGGTTGTGCACGCAAGCAATGGTGTGCCGTGTAGACGTACTCTGTATTGTACTGCCTGTTTCTGTAGGATGGATACCTTTATATGCACAAAGGTTTATAGAGGCTTGCATAGATCATCTATCCTTACCACAGTACACAGCGTCACACCACTGGAACTGCTCCGAAGGATGATGCGCCAAAAACACGCCGAGTGTTGTGAATGCTGCTCCCGGCATGATGCGACGACGATGAGAACACTAACGCAAACTAAATGGAGGCAGCTTAATCCCGTTTAATACGAAGTTAAAAAAATATATAGGGCACATGGACTCGGTTTGTATGATTTAATATTTCTGTAACATTTATATTTCTATTCAAGCCACAGGTTGCACACGTTGCCTAGGGCACATGGACTCGGTTTGTATGATTTAATATTTCTGTAACATTTATATTTCTATTCAAGCCACAGGTTGCACACGTTGCCTCGAATAATTCTCACAGTGTCACGTACTGCTTTGACGTACGCTGGACCCTTCTTGTATACGTTACCTCCACCGTGCATGGGGGCATGCCCGTGAGATGAAGGTCGAGTGGCGGTTCAGTCTGACATTTGACCTCTTTTTAGAGTGTGTAGCATTGCAAATCCTGGCAGATGAGATTGAAAGCACCCAGTGGATGCATTCCTCTTGCTTGTTCGAAATTCTCAAGCCTGGAGAAGGGCTCTTTAAAGTGTTGATTAACAGGAAATAAATTCACCGTGTGCAATTAGATCAAGTTAATATGAGGCAAAAAGACCCTGCTGGCCTATTAGCACTTTAGCTATTTGCTGCCATTCTCGGCCATTTCGAAAAGAAAGATACCCAAGGAGCGTGTTTTTTGGCGGTGGACTCTTAACTCGCCATGCTGGACTAAAAAAAAAAAAGAGTATTCTGCCAACCCTGCGCGGAAAGAGAAATGCATGTTTATGCTAAATATTGGTGCCTTGTACCATCATAAGCTAAAACATTTTGTTTGCTTTCCAGTCATAGACACAGATCCCACACATTTTTTTTTTCAGAAATTTGCATTTTGTCAAGGTTTATTGTGCCTATATTTACTATTTTGGGGGCCTAAAACAGTTTTGCCTGCCTACTTTTGGCGCCTAAAACGCGTTTTTTAATGCCTATAAATCCGGCTATTAAATGGACCAACCTAACCTGCACAATATTGTTTTAATGTTGAATCAAGACCTGTGCAAGTGTCTTTTTTTTTTTCATCAAATAAAATGGAAGCATCTTTGAATAGTAGCAGGAATTGACTTTCGGTAGAATTCAAGTGATAGCCTGTGAGAAATGTAACGTTTTAAAATATGCTGTACTTTTCGCGGCAGTGTAAATTTCTTTTGGATACGTGTTTTCACAGTTCAGCACAACTTCATGGCAGTGAAAGTACTTTTACAAAAAGTTGCATGGGGACTAATATACACCAGGCAGGGGCTTTCACAGCTTAGTATCCTCAACTTCAGTGAAACCATCTTTACAGGATGTACATGCAGATTAATATGCATTTATTTGTTTGTCTAGAACAATTCGAAATTTTCTATAATTTAAATTCGATTTGAAGCAAATTTGAATCGAATTTCTTTATTATTCGTTTTAATATTTGAAGCCTTCGAATATTCGCACAAGAAAGCCTCAAGCCTACTATTTTTTTTTTACTAGCTGCAAAAAAAAAAGCCCGTAAAAAGAATGCCCCCAGGCTCCCCGTAAGGAATCGTGAGGAAATGCGAATGCATTGCATAGCGTCCATAACGCTGTTTCGCACGTGAGAACCCAGTGTTCTCACGCTAGCCTGCACGGTTAAAGAATACTATGAAGTGAACGAAACAAATAGCGTTCTTCGCTCGGCGTTGGCGTTTAACAGCGGCGTCTCGAGCACACATTGCCGGATGTTCTTGAGAGGCACCCAACCAGCAGAAAGGTCGAGAGTAAGGCGCGAGCGCACGGGAAATTGGGGCGCATGGAGGAGAGAGAGCGAACGGCAAGAGAAGGAGCGGCAAAGCAATGCGCCTACCCTCTCCTACACGCTATAGTACCACATGCTCCAGTTGCTAGGGGCGATGACAAACGCGCGCGCCCGCAGCTGTTGCTATGGGAGAGCGAGTGAGAGCAGCGCCTGAAGACAACGTCGGATGCCTGACTTAGCCCGACAAAAAAAATGCATTCGCATTTAAAAAATGGCAGCATATCCACGGAGTGAATGATGGAGAGTGGGGTGAAGCATTCGTCCGTCCATTCGTTCTTGCTTCCGTCCGCCCATGCGTCCGTCTGTGTGACCGTCCATGCGTCCATCCGTCCGTCTGTGCGTGCGTCTGTTCATGCGTCCGTCCCTGCGTTCGTCCATGCATTCGCCCCTGTGTCCGTCCATGCGTCCATCCATGCATCTGTATGTGTGTCCGTTCGTCCATCTATTCAACACTCCAAGTACCACCATCTCGATATTTTCCATATAGAAGCACCGCCATCCAGCGGACATTCCAAGGACTAAACGAGAGGTGGCACACGCACACTTTCTTACGGCTTGCGCTTCGTGTCTACTTCCCACCTTTAACCACCTCGAGTTTATGGTATATAGTAGTTCACTGTGTTCATGGCACGGCAGCCCAACGCTCGCTAAACCTTTCTAAAACCAAGGACGGTTACGCCCAGCGAGTATAACGTAGCAACCTTTTCCTGTCAGATAATGCTCAATGTACCATACGAGCACACACCGACGACAACGAGCATCGGCAACTACAAACCTGTATCGATAAGGTTTTGATTATAAAACCATTGCTTTAGAAAACACCTGGCGTCTTTCGTTAAGCAGCTGGCATATTCCTTTGTTTTGCTTTAGAAACATCTGGCGTCTTTTTGTTTTGCTTTTAGAAAACATCTGGCGTCTTTCGTTTGTTTATTTCATCAATCAACGCCGTTTTGAACAAAATTTTTATTGTTTAATCACGCACAGGAGAAATCTCGCCAGGCACTACCTTGGAGGTAAACAATGGCTGCTACTGGGAATAAGAGACAGCATAAGTCGGCTTTTAACGCCTACTACTTCTACTAACGTTTCCTACTGGAACATGCCAATGGCTGCTAATGGGGAATGAGAGAGAGGAGCATTCGGCTTTTAGCTAACGCGCACGCCGCGAACTTTTTATTGTTCAACAAAGCACAGAAGACATCTCTCACCGGCACCACCTTGCAGGTCAAAATGTAACACTTGTTACACACTGCGACTACGATGGATGAACGGGTGCCGCTTTAAGGAGCTTCGCCCCTAAAAAAATATAAAAAAACTTGACCAGCGCATTCGTGCGCCGGCTACATGGCAGCGCTAGGTCGACTAGCTGGCGGTAGTTTATTGGCCCTCGCTAGCTACAAATTGCACCTTCTCACGCGCCAACTGCCTGACGCGGGTCAAGAAACCTCCGTCAACTTATTGACCTACCACTGCAAAGGAGCCGGCGAGTTGCGGCCGCAGCTGGTTTCCTTCGCCCAAACCACGGGTGGTATAGTAGCCGATTGCGGCACTATTTTTTTTTTTTTAGCTACGAAAAAATGGTACACATATCTCTACGATGCAACGAAGGTTCCTCAAGACGTTCTCGAACTTTGCGAATCCCTATTCTTGCTT